ATAGGTCTCTGGCTTTGCCTAAACCCTAAACCCCTAAACCCCTAAACCCCTAAACCCTGAACCCAAACCCCTAAACCCTAAACCCCTACACCCTAAACCCCTACACCCTAAACCCCTACACCCTAAACCCTACATCCCTACACCCTCAACCCTACCATCCCAAAGAAAGACATTGGAGTTTCCGAAAATAGGGGACCCTAATATAGTACCCTAAACAATAGGATCCCTATTATAAGGAGCCCAAAATAAGGTACCCTAATTTTCGGAAACTCCCACATCGTAGCCCTGCCCCGAGCTTCCGGCGCAACCTCGCAGGCGAAAGGACGGCTCGGCCCTTGCCTCGCTTCGGGGTCTAAGGGTTTAGGGCTTTCTAGGGCTTTAGGGTTTAGGGTTTAGGGTTTAGGGCTTTAGGGCTTTATAGGGCTTTAGGGTTTAGGGTTCGAGGGCTTAGGGTTTAGGGGTTTAGGGCTTTAGTTACGGTTTGGGTTTAGGATTTAGGGTTTAGGCCTTGAGGGTTTAGGGTCTAGGGGTCTAAGGGTTTAGGGCTTTATAGGGCTTTAGTGAGGGTTTGCTGCGGTTTTAGGGTTTGAGAATTTAGGGTTCAGGGCCGCAGGGTTTAGGGTCTAAGGGTTTAGGGCTTTGGGGTTTTAGGGTTTAGGGCTTAGGAGTTGAGGATCTACAGGTTTGGGGCTTGGCTTACGGTTCCGTTCAATTCCAGGCTTCGGGGTTCAGGGCTTTTGGGTGTTTAGTGGATGATGCAGGTCTTGGAAGCCAAGGCAAACCTAGAACACTTTTACGACATCCACAACACAAAGAAAGTTAATGAACACAAAACCCCTAAACCCACCCCTAAACCCTAAACCGAAGGGCACAAAGGGTGCGAGTGTCCCCAAAGCCCAAAGCCCACACCACTGAAAGCGGCTGAACTCACAGCTTCTGAGCGGTATTTCTGTCGGTAGGTACTGAATTGAATTACTGAAACCAAGCAGAATGCACGGGTTCGGGTCTTCGCTGAGGTTTAGGACCGGACCTGTTTGAAAAGGGATCTCTGCAAAATTTCTAGAAAGGGAAATCTCTACGCACTGACACCAAGCATAATACCAGACACAACTAGTTGAATGTACCTATACACATAACAACAAAACAACTTCATCCCCATGCCAACAAAAAAAACGCGTGAAAGTAAAGGGCCTCAGAGGCTGGCTCTTGCGCATAGGCATGCATCCACCGGAGCTTGGCCTGCGAAAGACTCTTGAAGCATGGACTTGCAGGGCTTAGACTTTCGGGTTTGAGGGTTTGGGCCTAGCGTTTCCGGCTTTACGGCGGTAGCCTTTAATGAGGGCTTTGGGGTTGAGGTCGGTTCCGAAGGGTTTAGGGTCGGTTCAGAATGTACCATAGCGACCCAAATAGGTGCTAAACAGCTGCAGAGCAGTAACAGAGGTACAGTACTGGTAGGTGAGGGCTGTAGTTGCTGTGGCAGTGGTAAGGTTGCGGTGGTGGTAGAAGAAGATGAAGAAGCAGCAGCAGTAGTACCAAGGGTAGTATATCTAGGCATGCATTTAGAGTTCATAGTTCTCTGTGTGCATGCTCCGGCACTGGCAATGGAGTGACTTTCAGAATGATTCGCCTGCAATGCCAAAACTCACGGCAACGCACGAGCAAGTCTTACATGTCATTCCGTACTGGCTACTACAGCCTGCGCAGAGGTCCATACAGTTGTAAGGGCTCTGGGGCATTAAAGTTTGTTGATTTCCGTGATGTCAGTAAGCCATGGGCTTTCACTTGCAACACATGAGAGACAAAAACAAACAAGATGAAGTGATAAAATAACGCAACCGCATGCCGAGCCCTTTTGGGTCAAGATAGACCAAGCATGTTATCGTAAACGCTAAACCCAAAGCTCTAAACCCTAAACTGGACCTTAAAACCAAATAAGCAACCGTATACCTGTTCAGGACTTGTATCAGGAAATCCTATTATTCAGGAGCCCTAAACAGGAAGGTTCTCAACCCCAACCGCGAAAGCCCAATAGTTGGGCTGTGTGAGTCCTAAGCCAAAATAGATCCAACATGTTACCCTAAATCTCAGCCCCTAAACTCTAAACCCGTAAACCCTGAACCCCACATGTTTGGGCTCTTTGAATCTTAAACAAACTTCTGATCGCCTCGGAATTCCGGTGACTCCGCTGTGAAAACAGGAGCGGACCCTGACAGGAAGCGCTCAGGGTGTCTGGGGTTTAGGGCTTAGGGCTCGGGTTTAGGGTTTAGGGCTTAAGAGATTACGGCACTTCGAGTTTAGAGCTTACCTGGACGCCAACAGTATATAGAAGAATAGCCTTTTAGAGGTATTGGGCCACGATTCTACCTAATAGTTTAAACTGCAGAATGCGCCATGATTTTCTTAGCTCTGTGTACTTGCCTCGATGTGGGAAGTACATCCGTGAGCACGCACCGGCGGGATTTGGAAGTGTCAAACTCCATTACGAGTATATCTATACCGTTTACCGGCTACCTATTATACATTTTCCTTAATGAAGTTCGACAACACGAAGAGACAACCACAACAATGTCTGAAGCTCCTATGTTGGCATCCTGCGAGCCATGTGATTGTGCAGAAAGTCGAGCATTGGTTTATTCTGGCGTACCTACAGTTTCGGGCCTATGTTGATGACAATCTGGGCTTTGAAGTAACCAGGGAGAAAAAAGTATAGACTTTTATTTCATAATGGTTCCTTTAAGGAACAGGTTCCCAAAAATAACCAGGGAGAAAAAAGTATAGACTTTTATTTCATAATGGTTCCTTTAAGGAACAGGTTCCCAAAAAAAGTATTAAAGTATGGTACTCCTTTATAATGGTTCCTTTAAGGAACAGGTCCCAAAAAAAAGTATTAAAGTATGATACTCCAAAGCCTAACAATGCTCTTGTGCTCGTATCAACTCCAGCTTCCGTGCTGAGGCTTCAGAAGCGACATTCTAGACGTTTAGGGTTTAGGGTTTAGGGGTTTAGGGTTTAGGGTTTAGGGGTTTGGGGTTTAGGGTTTAGGGTTTAGGGGTTTAGGGTTTAGGGCCTCTAGGCCAAGGCCAACAAGCCAGACCCATAGACTCGGAAGGTTCAGCCGCGGGCATTGAGTTTTGAACGATACAAGAGGCTGCCGGCGAAAGGCTTAAGCAGATAGGCGAGTTTTCTTGGCAACCCCTAAACCCTAATGTTAGGGTCCCTTTAATAAACCCCCCCCCCCGAGGGCGTTTTGCGCGGGGGTCTCTTGGGGCAGGGTTTGGGGGGGGGGG